TTGAATACCTTATGAAAATAATTTGATGCGGTAGATGAATAAGAATGCCATAAAAATGCAGAGTTACATGAATATGTTTATAAAATTTTAAAATCACTAAATAATAAATTACTTTTTATAAATAGAAATCCACAAAGATATCATAAAATTTGAAGAGAATTAAATGATAATCACTTTTCATTGTTATAACTAAATATAAAATAATATCTGCTTTTATAAAATCTTTACTAAATAAATTATTATAACGTGTAATTTTTACCAAATTCTACATGCACTCTTTCTCCTACCTTATTTGAGAAAAATCGTACATTAGATCTCATTTTTTTTTTAAAGTAACAGTCTTTTATTTAAATTTAATGTTGGTGGCAAAATTATTTCAACTTTAATTGTTTGGGATTTAAAATGTATAAAATAAAAGTTTGAGATTCAAATTACATCTGAATTATTAATTCAACTTCAAATTATATATTAACCCCATATAATATAGGCCAACTTTTGAAATTCCCTCCCCTCAAGATAACGTTGCACGAATGCTCTGTTTTTTGTCTTCTCTCACTGTGCACCGAAATGAAATTCTAATGGGGAAATGAATTTTGTCTTGCCACTTTTAACATGTGGCGAGACAATACTGGCCGTGGTGTTTTGCTCAATAAAATATTCATAATATTAAGATATTTATAGCATGTTAAGTTGAAAATATATCTTCAATAATTTAATTTAATGTCACCTAACTTTATTTATATTCATCATTTTCTAAAAACATGACTTGAAATAAAATCCTCAAAATTTAATTTCACATTAACCCCAATCAATTTTTAATTTATTTTAATGGGTTAAATTTAAACTTTTGGGATTTTTCACAGTTTCACCGTTTAATTTTTGAAAAAAGTTGCATTGAATACCCTTCGTTAAAAAAATTAATTTTTACCACTGGTTGGGCCAAAAAAATGCAAGACCTACAAGAAAGGACCTCAAAAAAAAAAAAAATCGATATCAACTTTTTTAGGATACTTATTTGTCTTACGACTCTTTGAATTGAATGGGACCACTCAAGACCAGTGTTTGTATGCCATTAGGGCAACAGGAAGGCACTTGACTTTTGTGTTTGATGCTGCATTTTAGTGTCCTCAGTGCATTGTATTTTATTATTTCCCATTTTCAAGTAGCCTTTTATATGTTACATATTTTACTAATAAAAAATAATAATTCGCCATTAAATTTTAGTAAAGTCATCATTTTCCATTCTCAAGCAATCACCATTGTTTTTATGTTTAATGTCAAATTTTAAATTGGAGGCAAAATTATCATTTCACCAAAAATCAACATGTGAAATCAATTTCCAGAGACTATACAATATTATCACATCTCACGAGATTGTTTTGTCATTTGCATGTTTTTAAGAGTATTTTTTAATAATTTATTTCTTGATATAATGTTGCATATCATCAGTACACCATTTTTAACTTTTCTTATTAACTATTAAAAGCATAAAAAAATTGTGAGTTAAAAAAAAAAAAAACACTTATTAGATGCCTGGTTAAGACTCAAGGCTCTTTGAATTGGATGGGGCCACTTAAGACCGGTGCTTGCACGCCATTAGGACAGCCGGAGGGCACTTGACTTTTGTGCTTGATGCTGTCTCCGTGAGAGACATGGTTGTTCAACGAGAAAGAAGAAAACTATCTACACGCAGGCACTGACGTCGATGAATCCGACCTCTCCCAGTGATCATGCGCACGTGTGCTCGATTAAGACCATTGACTGCTATTTAGTTGGGTAGCAATAATTCTCACGATCCCATTTGGCAGTTGAAAATGGTCAGTACCTATTGTCGTTGTAATTGTCTGAGACGATACTGTGCTTTTTTCATATTCTGACCAGTCCACGAGGCTTCAATAAGTCAAAAATTCTGAAAATATGCGTTTATCTATAATTATCCATATTTTGTTTTGCCCCCAATCAGAGATGTAATCTTCCGATTTCCCATTCAGTGAACGACGATTGTACATGAAATCGTATAAATGGTTGAAGTAGATTCTAATGTTTATTAACGTCGCTGACAGTTAATAAAGCCTAGGAGATTCTCCCTGCATCGCTGTCGCTTTGCTTTAAGCTAATAGCCATGGAGTGTGGACCCGTAAACTGATTGACCTTTTGCTTTAAGGCAAAGAACAATTTTCGGGGCTTTCACCGGAAAACCCATCATTGAAAGTTACTGCTTAAAAAAAAACTGCAAGAGACAGAATTCATCTCGCAATTGTTTACCATAGAGCTGAAAAGTTTTAAGGTAAGGGGAAAAAAAAATCAGATAAAGATAACAAGCAAGATCTGGAACGTGAGAAGTTGAGAATGAAAGAGTAGAATCTGCATATATCAGAGGCTATGCACCTTAACAGGGAGCACAAACAAAGCTACAACTGAGACACAGAGGCAGAGAAATAGAGCAGCATGATAATACAAATACAACACCAGAGAAGAATGGGGTGGCCTGCAAATTATGGGGAACTCGCAGAGACAAGAAAACTACCATGAAGTTCATATAAATTCCTGAACTCAGATGCGAGCAGAATGATCAGTTTTGGAAGGACGTGGCTCATCTGTCACCTTTTTTACCTTCATGAACCTGCACACGGCTCTTCTTCCTGAGTCCTGTATCATTCTTACAAACTTGTTCATTATTCTAGCTTTGATCTGCCCTCTTTTTGGAAGAGACCTACCCCTCCCGGTGCTTGTAGAACGAGAACCACCCTTTTCTTCAGTTCTTTCCATTTTAATATGTTTTCGGAAAACAAGCATAAATAATAGGAGAGGAAAAAAAGAATATAAGTGCTCAAGTCTACAAGTATTGAGAGGAACAAAGGAGCAGAGCATATGTATATACGCAAATGACACGTTCTTAACTAAAATTTCTTTCTCCTCAGGAGAAAAAAGACTAATATAACACGTATCCAATGCAAATGACAAGGGGGGAAATAAAGCACATTGTCAGACAAATAACTTCACTTGCTTCACTGCAGTCACTTAAGGATCCATCTTCCGCGTGGAAAAGATTGAGCTGTCAAGTTTATGCTGCTTGAAACTTTTGTTGCAATAAAAAATAAAGTCAACGAGGATTCATCCATTAGTTATGTTATATATACATGGAAAGTTAAAAATCATCACAAATATGACCCACTAAACAAAAATAACAATAAAATACAAGCAGCTTGAAAGGCAAGTCGGCAAGTAACTTAGGTAATAATAATAATAATAAATCAGCAACTGGGTAAGCACTTAAATCTCTTTTCTCTAGTATAAATAGGTGCATTGATAAGTCATTTGTGGGAAAAAAAAGTGAAAGCAAGAAAGCAAGTGTGAAAAGAGAAGGAGAGGACTGGTCAAAAGAGAAGGTGGCGTGGGTGAGTGAATAAAACGAAAGAAAGACGAAAAAGAAGGAGAAAGGAGAAGAGGACTCACGGAGGGAGGGAGAGGGAGAAGAGAAAAAGTTTGCAATTCGTGTATTTTGTAATTTGAGTTTGGAATAAAAGTTTCTTTTTCTCTCAAGACCCTTTTCTCATTTTTCTTCCGGCTCATTGTAACCTAGACAACTCACCTAACTGTGTTTTTGTAAAACATTAAGAAAGTTCAAAGAATAAATTTTATCTCAGTGCAGATTGAAGCGAGCATTCAAATCTTGATTAATAGCCATCCGTACAGTGCAAAATCCAACATGATGTCGGGTGATTAACAGACGAAGTGGGGAGTTAAATCATTCAGACACTGTTTGGGTGGATGATTAGGTAAGTCACAGAACACAAAAGTCAGTTTCTTGCTATAATTAAGTAATAAGCATTGCCTTACAAGATCATAACACTTTGAATTGCGAGGCCGTGCATAGACCTCGATCCGTCTTGTTTACTTCGATTGGGATCCTCCTCGTTTCATTGTCTGCCATGAAAGGGACTTGAAAGCGTCATCTACTTTACAAGGGAGACAAGCCTAACTTGTGTGTTCTTTTTGTGAAAGCAACGTAAAGATTTTATATGCTCAGCGATGATTAGCAGATAGCTCTGCTCTATTACTCAGTGATAATCTCATGAACCGTCAAAGATTAACATCTTCGTCGTTTCTCCAAGAATGAAATGAATGAATCTTCTGAGTGCTGTAAAAATTCATAAAGGAAAGCAAAGCAGGACAGTTGAACTACTAGTGGCGCTTTTCATTTTTTTTTCCTCTTCAGTGTCCGTCACTAGTTCTGAATTGGTTGTTACATAAGCAGGACGAACTGTTTAAAATGGATTAACAATCAGAGTGTCGATTCTCGTCCACTATTCACGGACATTCTGTATAGAATTGTATTTCCAATCAATTGCTCGCGAACCTAGTTCATCTTAATCCGAAACGAAATATCATGTAATCTGTTAGGGCCGAGAATAATTTATGACATTGATGAAGTCTTTCTATCACACATCCACACTGCCATCCGTTGGCCAGCAGGCATGTTGTGATACACGAGCCGAACTATAATAACGTGGGCTTGGACTATGAGTTAAATTATATTAACAGGCCATATTATTATTGCAGAAAGCTAGGGGTATACAGCTTAGTTGGTCACAAGGTGCTAGGGTGGTGTGAATAAATTGGTGAAGTCTTTCCCTCTGATGAGCTTCAGCTTCTCCCACTTTCCTCCTGTGAAGTCTCTCCCTCTTCCCTTCTGAGATATTTTCTTCTCACTATTGCTGCTGCTACTTCATCCTTCTGGGGTTCTTTTTCCTTCTGAGAGTTTCTGTTTTAAATTCTTGATTGCTGGCTTGTTTGCTTGAAGCTATTTGACAATATATTCAGAGAAATTTCTTTATCCTGCTATTTAGAGGTTTAAAGCATTTGTAAGATAACCATAACACATGTTTCAATGTACATCTCTCCTAATGTCACTTCACTTCAGCTCGTTTCATCACCAAGTCTGGATACTCCTGAATTTGTAATGTTGTTTGGGCCAACATGATTATGCAATGTCAAAGTAACAAGAATTCTGAGGATAATATTTGTTGCCGGTGGATGAATCAACATGACAAAGAGTAAGAGATTAGCAACCACATTGATAGGCAATTCACAGTTTCAGTGAAGCCATGGTTTACTTCTGAGATATAGAGCAAGGATATCACTTGATTGGTGCAAGAATGGTATATAACAAAAGGAATGAAACAATTAAAATAGCCCCCACTAAAGTGAAGCCAGGACTAGTCCACAACATGAGGTTTGATCTCTCTGTTCTTTTGATCGGATCAGTCTCCTCAGAGATTGGGAACTCTGATCGCCTTGGATTCCAGCTCACGTACTTGTCTGGAGAAAACTGGGAGAAGAGTGATTTTCTCCCTTGCTTCCTGAAGTTTGACCATGCCCTGTCCCAGTCTCTTGAAAATTTGTCTCCTGGGACATTTAACAAACAGTTTCAGTGCGAGTCTTCCCGAGTTACATTCCACCTCAAAAAAATTTATAAAACTTACATTATGTCGTGACAATCCTAAAGCAAAGGGTGAAAAATTGCCCAATAGATTCTTTGCATTTGGAGAGACAATACCAAATGATACTTAGGAAATTACTATTATGCTGAAGCATTGAGGATTTAGACACACACACATACACACAGCCATTTAAGCAAAAGAAGAGGGAATGATCATGCACCAATTAGCATTCTTTTCCATTGATCGCAGAAATAGAAAACATATGCTTCTAAAAAATTGACTTTCACCTTGATTTATTGTCTGGCAACGACCGACAAGTCGGAAATTGGGCATCTTGGCACATAACTTGAGCAATTTCAGATTTAACTAGATTAGCTATCTATTTTGAGGACCATATGAACCGCCCTAGAGCAAAGATTAAAGTAGATCAAGCATATTGATGCCTGGAATTTAAACAAGAGAGAACTGAAATAACTCCAAACCAACGAAAATAAGTTGATTTAAAAACTTCATCACTTCTCAAAACAGGAAAATGAAAAGAGAAAAAAAAAAAAGATGATTGGTAGATAGCAGTACCGTTATCATTATCATCGCCGTTTTCTTTAGATTCTTGAAAATCCCTTCTGGAACAGAAACTTTTGTAAGGCGAGCAAGATGACGATGATCTTTGGTTTCGAGAGAGGAAGGGATGGGATATAATGCTTCGGATCCGAAACTGAATATCCATTTGCATGATGACCAAGATTCCGATTATGACTCCGAGCTGCTTCAGCTGCAAACTCCGGATGTGCAGGACAGCGTAGGCCAACGTCTCCCGCTTGGCCCTTATCCTTCATTGTTCTTTCATGTCTCAAATTTAGCCACGTCACCCATCTGTTTAACACGTGTCGTTTTCTGGAAGCTTATTCTAAAAGAAGCCTTGCAAATTAATGCGATGGTATTGATGAGTACAAATAAATTTGATTGATTCGACATTGATGATTAGGATTAAATATAAAATATTTTAAGTTTAAAATAGTACTAATTTGATTCTTAAAATTTATATTGATGGTCACAGATTTAAAACTTTTTATGGAAGATTCGAAATTGAAAATTTAAATGGCGGCTGTATTTGCCGCAATTTATAATTTATATTTTTTATTATTTGTATGATTTTTATCTTTATCGTTGAAGTTTAAAAATATCATTAATGGTTGAAGTTTTTCTTCTTAATTTTTCGAAACGGTTTTAAGGCAAGAAATTCCTTATTTCACCGACAAATATCGGGTCCAACAAAAGCTTTCACAACATGACGGGTTAAAATTAAGCACTCTCAGCTGTGATTATTGCAGGAAGATGCTGTGTGCAGTAAAAATTTTCCTTTATTTTGTCGAATTTGGACTTTGGAACTCAGATTTAAGCTTGCATACCCTCAATCAAGTTATTGCTAACACTCATCTACTTTCCTTTTCAATTTAATAGGTGAAAATTGAGATTTATTGGGATTATTTTTGGGTCCTATTTTTTGGCTGGTTGATAAAGTTTCATAGCTTCCAGAGGTGAGTTTAATAGTTCCTTAACCCCATTCATGATCTTGATTATTGGATTTTTACATATTATGATTGATCGGAAGAACCTTATTGTTGGAAGAGTAATGTTGAATTTTTGAGCATTCAATGATTGAGAACATTGATTAATTGACTTGAGTACTTGATTATTCTTGTTGGAGTGTGAAATTGTGGTAGGTTTGGAAGCTAGCCGGAGTTTGAATTATAAGATATTTAATTTTTTTTAAAATTTTGGTTTGGTTGATTAGATGGTCATTTGGTTTGAAAATTTATTCAATTAAAAATTCTAGATATTAAAGATTTTGAATTTTGTTGGGTTTGGAATTGATCTGGTTTATTATTTTGAACTGAAGGTTTTTATAACAATGACTCGTTTAGAATTAAGTGGTAAAATTATTTCAATTAGTGGTGAATGAATGTGAATTGATCATCTAATTATGATGGGATAATTCTGACACTTGAAAAGATGTTATTGAATATTAACGTGTGTATGTGTGTTTTGGTCATTGATTGGGCCTTGTAGGCGTTATTGTGAACTTTCTAGTAGTTGAGTTAATATCTTTGGATTGTGGTATGGAGTTTTTTAGCTTTACTTAATGGTTTAGGCTTTTTGCTCTTCTAACTTGAATGGTTGAAGTAATTAGGGTTTAATTTTTGCTGTAACATGTGTGTGTGTGTAGTCCTTGAATGTCTATGAGAATTTTTAGAAAATTATTATTCATTGTACAAACCTTGTTTTTTATGTTGAATCGTGTAAATATTGATCGAGTACAATTTCATGATATATATATATATATATATATATTATGTTTGCAAAATGATATTTAAAAATACATATTGATATTGACACTTTGAAAAGGGGTTAGAATTAAATTGTTATATTGAATGCAGTTTAATATTTGAAAAGTTATGAATTTATACTGAAATCACTTGACCTCAAAAAGGGGATTAGAAAATTGGTCTAAGCAAGTATGTTTAGCTATACATGTATACATTTGAGAAAACATGCTATCATTAGTAGTTGTAAGGGGATGTGAGTATGACTTGGAATGATTACATATTGTTTTATTTCGTACCCTAAGAGGATTATTGTTGTTTTGAAAGTACATTTCATTTTTCTTGATATTTAAATGAGATGACATGACATGATAAGAGAATGATCTTGTGTGGTGATTGGTAACAACTTATTGAGTTAAAGTTCCTTAAAGTCATGTGGTACTTGTTGATCCTTAAAGGTACATCCTATGACAAGAGGAGAAGGGGATGATATATAATACCTACTTCCTTAACTACTATCCCTAGCTTAAAAGTGGAGGGTTAAAGTAGAAGAAAAGGTGTCCACGAAACCTCTAGTGGCTAAACCATAAAAGTTGATGCAAATCCATGTCTTTTACATAAATTACAGTGACCTCTAACCAAGTGCTACAAAAAGCGAGAGTCATGGGTGCAGTCTTTAAACCTCTAATCTCTTAATTAAGAAGGAGAGTGTTGGGTGTGGTTGTGGAAGATGATTTTGACTAATTACCCCTTACTGAGCATAAAGGCCTCTATTTAGCGTAATTAAGATAAATCGTTTTATGCAAGGATAGAAATTGATAGTAATTATATATATACATATATATAACAATTATAGATTGAACTTTGAAATGGTATTTTGTTTGGAAGCATGCATCTCCCTTTTTATAAGACTATATTGTATCATGGTATGCTTGTTTAGCTTAAAATTACTCTTCAGTTACTGAGTTTTCCTATTTCACCCCTCATTCTAACATTTTTTAGGTGAAAGTTATAGCTTGCTGTTTGCACATGGTGTTAAGGCTAGTTTGACCTAGTATATGGTCATCCTTTTACACTCCTATGCATGTAATTTTTGGCCAAGTGTCTTCTTTGTCTATTATAAACTACTGGAATGTGATGCCTTTATTATGATTTATCGATCGGTAGGGATGCCATCTGTTGCGCCTAGTGTAATTATATATATGTATGTATGTATATGTATATATAAAACAATCATATGTTGAACTATGAAATGGTATTTTGTTTAAAAACATGCACATCCCTTTTTATAAAATTACAAAGTAAGAGTCACATCTTACTATTTGTGCCTGGTGACGAGGCTAGTTTGACCTAGGTATATAGTCACCCTTTTGTACTCCCATGCATGTAGTTTCTAGCCAAGTATGTTTTCTGTCTATTGTAAAATACTGGAACATGATACCCTTGTTATGATTTGTCAGTAGGTACAGATTGTCGGATAAGGCTGACACTTAAGAAGGGGGTGAATTGAGTAAAAATTAATCTTTTTGGAGAATCTTAAAGAAAGGGAGACAGGTACAAGGAGTTAAAAGATTTGATATAAGAGATTTATCCTAGTTCAGCTTAAATCTTGGCCTACGTCTAGTCTTCAATATCACTTTTAAGATTTTCAACTATAATCACAAGCTTAAATGGGTGCTTGCAACCTCAGTACAATTCACAAGACTTGACTAGTTTTGTTCTAATTAACTAACCTTTCTACAACTAGCAAGTTGTTATAAATCACTTGAAAAAATTTCTTTTCAAGATTTTACTTATTTATAAAGTAAAATTCTCTTAAAGATAAACTCTTTAAAAAGAGTATATTAAATATAATGAAAGCTTAAGAAATATGAGAGCTTTTTTATAAGATTTATCAATAATGATAAACAAATGAATGTAAGACTTTTTAATGCACCAATTGAGAGCTTTTAAGAATGTTTAAATAAGGAATAGTTCACTCAAATATCAGAATTCTTATTTTAAACTTGAATTGTGTCATATATATTTTTGGCAGTGTACAGACCATTGGAGTAGTAATTGTAGCCATTGGTGACATCTCTTACATGCAATCAGAAGATTCATGTGTGAAATAAAGCTAGGTAAGTTCTAGTCAAGCATATATGATAATTCAAGCGTAAATACCAGGGTGACTCACACTTGTTTTATAAGATAAGAAGATACAAACCATTTTACATAACAAAACAGGCGTGGTTCCCTCAAGCTCTCATGTGTGAATTGGCTAGTAGAATGTCAAAGCCAATCTAGATAGGGGTAAGCAAAACTGAATTGAAACAAAAAATCCAATCGAATTTTGTCGATTTGACTCAATCTATTTAGTTTTTTAGTTTGATTCAGTTTTCTTTTAAGAAAAATTTTAGTTGATCGGTTTAATTTAATTTAGGAATTATTGGACTAAATAAACTGAACTAACTAAATTATACATATTTTTCTTTTCATATTTATGAAAATGTGTGTCGCACCCAGAAAAATGCGACGCGGACGGCACGCGAGCGGAGGTCCCAGCCTTCACGGCGGGAACCGGATCGAACGAGGAGTCGCCACCAAGATTTTGAGGTAAATCTCGGGAAACCGATTAAAAGGAGGATAAGGGTGGTCTGCAGAAACAGAGAATAGGTTCGGGAGTCGATTGAGTGTGGAGAAGGTGTTAGGCACCCCACAACACCCGTTCGTCAGAACAGTTACCTGAAGTTTGTTGTGCTTTTTTAATATGATTTTATAATTATTTTAATTATCCCTTTTGTATTTATGTGTTTGATAAAAATGATAAGAATTATGTGAGAAATGTTTATTTATTTACGAGGGAGGACGGACTTAACTCAGAATCTGACTCTGAGGCCTACGTACCCTGTGATGGGGATCAAAGTCCACGTAGTTCGAGCTTAAAAATTTGTTGGTGAAAATACTTTTTGAAGGGAAATTAATTAGAAATAACTCATCATTTTGCAAATAAAACAATTTCTGAAATTTTGATATGTGTGTTTTAAATTACAAAAGGTAATTTGATTTTAATTATTTTCTCCATTTTTGAATTTTTGGAATAAAGAAAGGAAAGTGTTTAAAATTATTTTCCTTTATGTTTTATGATTGGAAATTTTAATCGCAGTACCTACAGAACCTTACTGGCTTATACGGTAATGCAATTACTCTAAATATCTGCGGAGATTCTGAAATCTCACACGATAAAAGAGTTTGGCAATTTAATTTATTTATTTATATTCTTGTGTACATTTTTAAGTATTCATAATAATTTTTTTTAGCATGTAAATACATGTTTTGAAGAATTTTAATCAACATACCTGCAAAGCCTTATTGACTTATACGGTAATATGATTATCTTAAATATCTGCGGAGATTCCAAAATCTCACACGATAAAGAAATTAAAATTATTTAAATATATCTTTAATTAATTTAATATATAATTTATATATATATATATATATGTATTTTAAAAAC